CATTCGTATGCACTGTCCCTTCTGATGGGACTGTCACCCGTTTCCTGGATGAGGACACTGCAGTTGACAGAAATTCCTTCGAGTGCTTTGCCATGATCTGCTCAGGTTCAGAATTCTCCCCCAGGAAGTGAGGCCACTTCCTGAGGAACAGGCAGCGTTAAGGCCACCTGTTTCCAAATCAGTGAGTGGGGTGGACTGACCACAGGGTGAGGAGGGTGGGAGGCCAGGCTGCCTCCTCCCCCCCACGGCCTCCTGGCCTCCTTACCTTTCCATCCTTTCTGTCCTCGAGCACCAGGGAAGCCGGAAGGCCCAGGGTAGCCCACGCTGCCTTCTGTTCCTTTCAGGCCAAACAGGAAGCCTGGGGAGAACCAGTGCACAGGGACGTGAATGCACCCGAGTCTGGTAGCCAGGGTCAGCTAAAGCCCCAGCGACCCCGCCTCTGATGCCACCTGACACCTGCGACAGTGGGCAGGGCCAGAAGAGTAAGAGTGCAGCCTTCCTCGAACAGCCCAGGGCAGAGGACAGTTGTTCCTCCGGAGGACGCTGTCCAAAGACAGGCTTGGATTAACACGGCAGAACCTGGGTCCTGAGATCTTCACGTACTCCAGTTCCCTACTCTGTCCTGTCCTCTAGGGTGGGGGCACACACATGCACACGTCCTTGCACACGCTCTTTCCTCTTCCACTCCACATCCATCCACGGGAATCTGGGGAACTAATGCAGGTCACTCGTGACCCGTATGGACCCCGCATGGCCAGCCTCCCTGGGCCACATGAACACACCCTCCCTCCCGCTCAGTCCTGCACGGCCAGTTCTAAGTCCAGACATCTGGGTCGAAGCCAAGTCACGCGCGGGCTTGCTGGTGGAGAGCGCCATCTGCTGGAGAACACAGGGCTGCGGCCCGGCTCTGGGCAGCTCCAGCCCAGTGCCCTTTCCTCTGCAGATCTAAGGGCACGCCTCCACACAACGCGCCTCCACATGGCACGTCTTCACACTGACACACCTCCATGCAAGCGTACTTCCACACGGACTAACCTACATGCAGTCTAGCCTCCACACAGACATGAGTCCACACAGAAACGCCTCCAAACACATGCCTCCACGTGACATACCTCCACATAAACACCTCCACACAGATACACCTCCACATGACACGCCTCCATACAGACATGCCTCCACTTGACACACCTCCAAACAGATACACCTCCATACAGACACGCCTCCACACAGAAATGCCTCCACATGACACACCTCCAAACAGACTAGGCTCCACAGAGACACACTTCCACACTGACTAGCTGCAACAGACTAACCTCCACATGACACACTTCCACATAGACCCGCTGCCACACAGACTAGCCTCCACACTCTAACCTCCATAGACATGCCTCCTGCAGACTAGCCTCTACAGACTAACCTCCACACAGACTATCTCCACTCAGACTAGCCTCCACAGAGTCTAGGCTCCACACAGACTAACCTCTACACAGACTAACCTCCACACAGACATGCCTCCACAGACTAACCCCCACACAGACTACCTCCACACAGATTAGCCTCCACAGACTAACACACAGACTAACTAACCTCCACACAGACATGCCTCCACACAGACTAACCTCCACGCAGACATTCCTCCACATGGACATGCCTCCACACAGACTAACCTCCACATAGACATGCCTCCACAGACTAACCTCCACACAGACTAACCTCCAAGCAGAAATGCTTCCACACAGACATGCCTCCACAGACTAACCTCCACACAGACATGTCTCCACGCAGACATTCCTCCACACAGACTAATCTCCACGCAGACATGCCTCCACACAGACTAACCTCCACACAGACATGCCTCCACACAGACTAACCTCCACAGACTAACCTCCTCCACACAGACTAACCTCCACAGACCAACCTCCTCCACACAGACTAACTTCCACACAGATATGCCTCCACATGGACTAACCTCCACACAGACTAACCTCCACAGACTAACCTCCACACAGACATGCCTCCACACAGACTAACCTCCACACAGACATGCTTCCACACAGACTAACCTCCACGCAGATATTCCTCCACATAGATATGCCTCCACAGACTAACCTCCACACAGACATGTCTCCAGACTAACCTCCACGCAGACATTCCTCCACACAGACTAACCTCCACACAGACTACCTCCACACGGACATTCCTCCAAACAGACTGACCTCCACACAGACATTCCTCCACGCAGACATGCCTCCACACAGACTAACCTCCACATAGACATTCCTAACCTCCACACAGACATGCCTCCACACAGACTAACCTCCACACAGACATTCCTCCACACAGACATGCCTCCATACAGACTAACCTCCACAGACTAACCTCCTCCACACAGACTAACTTCCACACAGACATGCCTCCACAGACTACCTCCACACAGACTAACCTCCACACAGACATTCCTCCACACAGACATGCCTCCATACAGACTAACCTCCACAGACTAACCTCCTCCACACAGACTAACTTCCACACAGACATGCCTCCACAGACTACCTCCACACAGACTAACCTCCACACAGACATGCTTCCACACATACTAACCTCCACACAAACTAACCTCCACACAGACTATCTCCACAGACATTCCTCCACACAGACTACCTCCACACAGACATTCCTCCACACAGACTAACCTCCATGCAGACATTCCTCCACACAGACTAACCTCCACAGACTAACCTCCCCACAGATATGCCTCCACACAGACTAACTTCCACGCAGACTAACGTCCACGTAGACATTCCTCCACACAGACATGCCTCCACAGACTAACCTCCACACAGACATGTCTCCACGCAGACATTCCTCCACACAGACTAACCTCCACGCAGACATGCTTCCACACAGACTAACTTCCACATAGACATTCCTCCACACAGACATGCCTCCACAGACTAACCTCCACACAGACATGTCTCCAAGCAGACATTCGTCCACACAGACTACCTCCACACAGGCTAACCTCCATGCAGACATTCCTCCACACAGACTAACCTCCATGCAGACATTCCTCCACACAGACTAACCTCCACACAGACATGCCTCCATACAGAGACATCTCCATACAGACTAGCTGCACATTGCCTTCCACACCATGTGGGACCTAAGATGCAGGGATGTGGCCATGAAGGAAGCAGGGATGTGGCCATGGAGGAAGCAGGGATGCGGCCACAGAGGAAGCAGGGACATGGCCATGTAGGAAGCAAGTGTGAAGCCATGGAGGAAGGCGGGATGAGGCCATGAGAAAGCAGGGATGTGGCCACGGAGGAAGCAGGGATGAGGCCATGGAGGAAGCAGGGATGAGGCCACAGAGGAAGCAGGCAGAGGCAACCCTGGAATTAGAACATTGGCTTCTGCTTTGAAAACGGCCCCAGTACGTGAGCACAGTGGCTCCAGGGTGTCCCTGCGCGTGGCTGGGTCTCCCTCTGAGCCACCAGCCTCACTCGCTCCTCACCTGCACTGACCCAGGCCTCGGCCACGCCAGAGGCCCCAGCCAATGTGGAGACTCACACCTCAGCTGCCGGACCCATGTGGACTCCCAGTCTGGGTGGGGCTGAGAACAGGGTGCCCTTGGGGATGGTGGGGGGGTGCCTATTTAAAAATGGGGTTCCAGGGACCAGCAGTTAGCGTAATGGCTATGTCGCTGGACTCCCATGTAGTCGACCGCGGTTCGAGTCCCAGACCCGGTGGCTTAAACTCACGCCGGGCGCGTGTGTGTGCGTGCCCAAGATCCCGAGAGGAGAATGGAGGAGAAGGGATTGCGGCATGGCCATCCCCCCTGGGGGGTGATTTCTCGCTTTCTATCTCTGTCTTTCTCTGTCTGTCTGGCGAGCGCACACGCCCTATAGCGAAAACCTCTGAAAAAAAAAAAAAAAAAAGAAATGTGGTTCTGCACAGCCCTTTCTGGGTCAGTGTGGCAAACTGAACCCAAAGGATAAGGCCGCAGCAGGAGTGCTGCTCCAGGGTGGACGAGAACGCCTTGAACATGGAGATCGGGGTGGGTTGACAGTGGAGCGTGACAAGTGACTGGAGGGTGAGGGGTCATGCCAGGGCACTCGGGCCAAGGGCTGCAGGAAGACATGACGGGCGTCAGGGAAGCAGGGGGCACCTCTCCGTGGGTAACAGGCGGGAAAGGGTGAGTGGTGAGCGCTCCAGCAGACCTGGCTGTGGTGGGGAGGCTTCAAGGACAAAGGCGGGTGACAGAGGACAAGGGACAGATATGAGTGAGAGTGGAACCAGGGAAGGGAGAGGCTCTGCTGGAGGCTAGGCAAGGGTCATGCGGGCTGGCCAGAGGAGGGGAGCAGGGCGGCGAGGCTCTGTGTGGGGGCTGGTTCCAGGGGATGGCTCTGTCTCGGGGCTCCGAGGGCTGCAACACCTGTAAGCTGTGGCTGCAGGTGGACAGGCGTGCTCACCCGGGCAGTGTCTGCTCCCCATAGACTACTGGTCAGAGGAGGAGGAGGACATGTGGCAAGAGATGGCCAGATGGGTGGGGGAGATGCAAGAGAAGAGCATGTGTGTGAGTGTGCACGTGTGAGCGTGAGGGGGAGAGGCGGCTGCTGCACGGGCAAGGGCAGACCCAGGACGTGGTTCCACTGGGTTCACTAGAGGGCCAGGCAGGAGCAGCCTACCCAGTGGGGGCCTGGGGGCTCCTTTCGCTTCTCCAGACTCTCCCTGTATGGCATGAGAAGTGCAGAGTCACTGGTGAGTTAGGTGATGATGCACGCCTCAGGGATGTTGGTATTCTAAACGGACCGTCATTAAGGACGGAGGTCGTGGGTGTTCGTTCTGGTACGTGTAGATGCTCTGCATAGCCAAAAAGGCGTGAGCAGCATCTAGGGTGACAGCCCCTCTCTGTTCTCTGTTGTTTTCCTTTGACCTAACATGTTGATCCTTTCAGACAGACGCGGGGGAGCAGCGGTGTGCCTCTTAGATGCTTTCAACATGATTCCCACAAAGAGGTCAGTGGCCATTAACACACCCAAAGTATTTTGCCTTATTCTAGAGCAAATCGAATTGTCTCAGCACTTAACAAAACTGGGAAGTGGGAGTAAACCAAGGATTTTGCCCAGAAAGAAAACTCACTTCACGGTTTGATGTTACTGGAATTGCAAAATAATAAAATTTCTGGTTTTCATCAGCAGCAACACATAAAACAAAATAAAATGCAGTTTACAAGAAAAGAATTTAATAGTTCTAGTCCAAGTGAAAAGTGGAAGAACTCCGTGGAAATCGAGATCATTGATACCAAATTCTGACTACACCCCAACATTTCCGACAGGCTACTGGAGTCAGCTACTTTTGGTAGAAGAGATGGCTTTAAAAAAAGTGATTTGGGAACACCGAGTCTCACCTAAGAAATGAGATGGATGTATATTTAAGGGAGAACTTGAGTTGCATACTTTTAGAAGTTTTAGATGCTAAAGTTGACCTGATACCATATCATCTATTTTATTAGTCTCCCCATCAATCTTCAATACAGTTCAGAAATAAGTTAATTTGTTTGCAGTTGACCTAATTAGTAAATCACAGATTTACCAGGCAAGATTTCTGAAGCAAGATGGTATGTGTGTATCAAGAGTGGCAAATCAGCCTTGGGTCACACTTCTTTAAAAAGATATGTTTTGTGCTTTTTTTTTTTAAACAAATCATGTTCTTCTGTTGCAAAAAGGGAAAACTTAACAAATACCATTTACATAGCAAATATAAATCTCATAGAAACTTAGCTGCTAGCACAGATGTCCCAGTAACAAATATCACTTCTAGGACAATAAAAAAGTATGAATGATAACACTGCTGAAACTATTTAGCTAATTATGTTCCAGGGAAAAATCTGCACCTGAACAATTTCAAAAGAATGCTGGAATCTGTGGTTTTTCTAGTCAAAGAAAAAGATGAAAAAAACTAGAACCATATTAAGTTAAAAAATTTACTGCAGAATACAAAATAGAAACAGAAGTGAGTACTGTTTCTTTTAATGGAAGAAATATGTAGACATTTGCTTCTAATCCCTCCAACAATTTTCCTTCTGGAGACGGCAGAGCAGTCTTCCAACAGCGATGGAGCCCGAGCCCCTGAATTCGACTTTAACTGAACTCACACTCTGCCCATCAGCAAGTACTTCACATGCGGCCACTAAGTACTGCGCTCGAACTCCCTGGACACAGGGAACTGTTCACCATGAAAGGGTGATGTCAAGAATTTAAAGTAAACTATTTGGAAAGAAGAGGCTGCTAAATATTGGCTGATACCAGACAGAAAGAGAGCACAACCTCATGCTTTCACCAACGCCTCTTTTACCCTCCCTTGAAGGAATGACCTGTCCCCACCAGGAACCCTACACTGTCTAAAGCGTAATGCTTTAAGTGTTGATGCTGAGCTTTCAGCGACCTCGCAGCCAAGAGCTCATTTCTCTGCTTCCTTTAAGCAACAAGCCAGCGTATCCTCAAGCCCTGGAAAGGCCAGTGCCCCTTTCAGGGTTGCCCCCTCTCAGGGCTGCCTGCTTTCAGGGATGTCCTACTCTCAGGGCTGCCCCTTCTCATGGTTGCCTGCTTTCAGGGATGTCCTACTCTCAGGGCTGCCTGCTCTCAGGGGTGCCCACTCTCAGGGGTGCCCGCTCTCAGGGGCAGACTCTCCCTGTATGGCATGAGAAGTGCAGAGTCACTGGTGAGTTAGGTGATGATGCACGCCTCAGGGATGTTGGTATTCTAAACGGACCGTCATTAAGGACGGAGGTCGTGGGTGTTCGTTCTGGTACGTGTAGATGCTCTGCATAGCCAAAAAGGCGTGAGCAGCATCTAGGGTGACAGCCCCTCTCTGTTCTCTGTTGTTTTCCTTTGACCTAACATGTTGATCCTTTCAGACAGACGCGGGGGAGCAGCGGTGTGCCTCTTAGATGCTTTCAACATGATTCCCACAAAGAGGTCAGTGGCCATTAACACACCCAAAGTATTTTGCCTTATTCTAGAGCAAATCGAATTGTCTCAGCACTTAACAAAACTGGGAAGTGGGAGTAAACCAAGGATTTTGCCCAGAAAGAAAACTCACTTCACGGTTTGATGTTACTGGAATTGCAAAATAATAAAATTTCTGGTTTTCATCAGCAGCAACACATAAAACAAAATAAAATGCAGTTTACAAGAAAAGAATTTAATAGTTCTAGTCCAAGTGAAAAGTGGAAGAACTCCGTGGAAATCGAGATCATTGATACCAAATTCTGACTACACCCCAACATTTCCGACAGGCTACTGGAGTCAGCTACTTTTGGTAGAAGAGATGGCTTTAAAAAAAGTGATTTGGGAACACCGAGTCTCACCTAAGAAATGAGATGGATGTATATTTAAGGGAGAACTTGAGTTGCATACTTTTAGAAGTTTTAGATGCTAAAGTTGACCTGATACCATATCATCTATTTTATTAGTCTCCCCATCAATCTTCAATACAGTTCAGAAATAAGTTAATTTGTTTGCAGTTGACCTAATTAGTAAATCACAGATTTACCAGGCAAGATTTCTGAAGCAAGATGGTATGTGTGTATCAAGAGTGGCAAATCAGCCTTGGGTCACACTTCTTTAAAAAGATATGTTTTGTGCTTTTTTTTTTTAAACAAATCATGTTCTTCTGTTGCAAAAAGGGAAAACTTAACAAATACCATTTACATAGCAAATATAAATCTCATAGAAACTTAGCTGCTAGCACAGATGTCCCAGTAACAAATATCACTTCTAGGACAATAAAAAAGTATGAATGATAACACTGCTGAAACTATTTAGCTAATTATGTTCCAGGGAAAAATCTGCACCTGAACAATTTCAAAAGAATGCTGGAATCTGTGGTTTTTCTAGTCAAAGAAAAAGATGAAAAAAACTAGAACCATATTAAGTTAAAAAATTTACTGCAGAATACAAAATAGAAACAGAAGTGAGTACTGTTTCTTTTAATGGAAGAAATATGTAGACATTTGCTTCTAATCCCTCCAACAATTTTCCTTCTGGCGACGGCAGAGCAGGCTTCCCAAATTCGACTTTAACTGAACTCACACTCTGCCCATCAGCAAGTACTTCACATGCGGCCACTAAGTACTGCGCTCGAACTCCCTGGACACAGGGAACTGTTCACCATGAAAGGGTGATGTCAAGAATTTAAAGTAAACTATTTGGAAAGAAGAGGCTGCTAAATATTGGCTGATACCAGACAGAAAGAGAGCACAACCTCATGCTTTCACCAACGCCTCTTTTACCCTCCCTTGAAGGAATGACCTGTCCCCACCAGGAACCCTACACTGTCTAAAGCGTAATGCTTTAAGTGTTGATGCTGAGCTTTCAGCGACCTCGCAGCCAAGAGCTCATTTCTCTGCTTCCTTTAAGCAACAAGCCAGCGTATCCTCAAGCCCTGGAAAGGCCAGTGCCCCTTTCAGGGTTGCCCCCTCTCAGGGCTGCCTGCTTTCAGGGATGTCCTACTCTCAGGGCTGCCCCTTCTCATGGTTGCCTGCTTTCAGGGATGTCCTACTCTCAGGGCTGCCTGCTCTCAGGGGTGCCCACTCTCAGGGGTGCCCGCTCTCAGGGGTACCCACTCTCAGGGGTGCCCGCTCTCAGGGCTGCCCCACTCTCAGGGGTGCCTTTTCTCAGGGGTGCCTGTTCTCAGGGCTGCCCCACTCTCAGGGTGCCCGCTCTCAGGGGTGCCCGCTCCCAGGGGTGCCCGCTCTCAGGGGAACCCTGGGCACTCTCAGGTGGGCAGCTGGCCAGCCCACACTCATGCTCGTGTAGTTCAGAGACTTGCATAGACCTGTGTGGCCCCTGGCCAGTGGCTGCTCTTCTATTTACAGCGAGTATGGCCGCTGCTTCCCGTCACGGCTTGGCATCTGACCAGCTGTAGCTTTGGCTCTGCACGAGCTGGGAAGGCAGGCTGCCGAGCCCACTTAGACCCACTGGTAACACAGGGAAAGGGCCACCAGGTGTGCCTGCCCTGGAAGGTGTGTGGGTTCATCGCAGACTGAGGCATCAGCTCCCGGCCCAGCTGTGTGGACCCTTGAGAGGCCTGACCACCCTAACCCAGCACCAGTCAGGCTTTGTCTGAACCCCGGAATGCACCCCTTCAGGCTTCCCTCTACTCACCATCTGGTCCAGGAAGTCCAGGAGGCCCAGGGGGCCCTCGGAGCCCCGGCTCTCCATCTGTTCCGGGTGGGCCGGGGTAGAGTGCAGGGAAGCCTTTGTCACCTCTGAAGCCTTTGGGGCCCATCTCGCCAGGCAGGCCTCTCCTCTCACCTGAAACCAGCAACATTCAGCCTTCTGGCACCACGTGGGCACCTGTATGCACCCACAGGAAAACCCCGGCAGAATGCGTGGGCCGCGCTGTGCCGTGCCATATCTGGGGTGGGGGGCTGTGGTCCTGGCCTGCCCGTAATGGCCTGGCCGCTGTGATCAGCACTGATGCTGTGACAGCTACGCTCACTGAGGCCAACTGGTGGGAACGCACAGCCCGCTCAGTGGCCTAACCAGACCTAGGTGGGAATTACGGGCACAGTGCTGCGGTTCTGGGAGGGCACCATGCCTCCCTGCGCGTCGCAGTGCACTTGCTGAGACCAGTCTGTGAGAAACGTGGCAGCCCCACGCTGTGTGGTCAGTAAGGGCTCTGCTGTCAGCTATGTCTGAGGGTTCCACAGCCCAGAGCCACGTACCTCCATCTCCGATGGATATGCCGGGGAGGCCTGGGAGGCCTGGGTCTCCTGGCTCGCCCTGACTTCCTGGCTCCCCATGGGCCCCTGGAAAGCCTGGGTCACCTCGGGCACCTGGAACCAAGACAAGCCTCACAGTAAGAAGGTGGATGGCGGCAGGGGTTCGCTTCACTCAGCACCCTGAGCCCCGAGACGCAGCAGTGAACAGCCCAGGACAGAATCTATGCCCATGGGCCTCCTGCAACACAGAGAGGTCTGTCCGTCTACCTCCCTCCCTCCCCGACGTGATTACTAGGAGAAGGTGCAGAACCAAGCACCATCTTTAACCTAGAAGGATGCATGTTCACAGGGTTCCCTGGCAGTGTCTAACTGCAAGGAGAACTGCATCTCTGCTGGCCGATCAGCCAGTTTGGAAGGCTGAGTGAAGTGATGCGGTGGGCAGAGCCCTTGCTCACAGTGAGGGCTCCCGCTGCCGCAGAGGGGCCTCCTGGGAAGCAGTTTACGTGCAGGTACTGGGGACTTAGTTGCCTTGAAGCTTAAAGGGACAGAACTGTAACCAGGTTATGATCAGTTCCAGCCTTCTGGCTGGCAAACCGGAGCTGAACAATACTGGCACATTTGGAGAAACCTCAAAGGTGCACCTGGGGCCTGTGCGCGCCCCCACGGAATAGAAGAGAGGCTTGCTTAGGAAGCGAGCGGCCCCAGGCGGAGGCCAAGTGCGCACCTCCAGAGTACATCAGTCACGACGGTGTGCATAGGACACTGAGCGTCTCCAGTGTGACGCTCTAACTCCTTTGCGTGTGTGTTGTGTGGCGGGGGAGTTTTGTTTTGCTTAGGAAATCTGTCTTGACGGTATGAGCTCCGTGTACAGACAGATGACGAATGTCCTTGCTGGAGACTCTGCATACCAACCTTTTGCCAGGGAAGGATGAGGGGAGTAGGCAGGTAGTCCTGGGGGGCCCTGGGCGCCTGCTTCTCCCTAGAGGAGAAAGGAGAAGGTATAAAACATGAGGACAGCCTTAGGAGTCTTGCCAACTTGCCTGTTTTCAAAGACTATGGCTGCACATCCACCACCAGTTAGCCGGGCAGCTGCGTGACCAACAGAACACAGACCCTGCAGGGCAATGTCTCCCCGTGCTGGGGGCAGGTGGCCAGGTAGCCCAGCTGCCAGCCACACCCTGCCGGGGGCAAGACAGACACATGGCAGTCACCATCTGAAATGCACGCCCGGCACCAGGAGCGGCCGGGCTCTGCCTCTGTACTTGCTGGTCATGATGGGGAGCGTTCCTGCGAGGGGGCCAGGAGAGGCTGCGCCATGACCTGCTGTGATGCCAGCAGCTGAGATGCACCTCACCAAGATGCCTTGGCCTCTCGGAGCCTCACAGGAACCCCCAGGCCTGACCACACATTCGCTGTGGGAAGGGCTCTCCTGCCCCGCTCAACCTCACAGCTTCAATTACTCCACAGTCCTATCCTCTGCAGGCTGGAGCGCCTCAGCCTCATGGCTATGGGGCCGCCTCCACCCCAGCCGGCCCACTCTGCTCCTGTGTGGGCCCACAGCCCCGTGTGCCCTGTGTGGCACTTGGTCTCTGCCCCAGGGTGGGGTATGCCAGGCTGGTGAGTGCCCGTCTGTGCCATCGGTTCATGTGGGTGTCATGTGTTGTATCCTGCCCTGCTTAGGCAGGGGCACCTCCTCGAGGGCTGAGCAGGACGCAAGAAGAGAAGTGAAAATGAGATCGATCACCTTGGGTCCTCGGGGCCCGTCGGGGCCTTGAAAACCGTCCAGGCCTCTGCTTCCCTGCAAGAAAAATGTTTGTGCATTTAGTTATTTACTTCTGAAGTCATTTATTTCCTGAGAGAAAAAGAGTAAGAGAGACAGGCACCCTCATGCCAGTCCTCCCCCAGCTTCAGCCAGCCTGGGTCACAGACACACACGTGCCCACAGGTGCAGGGAGGCTTTGGGACGCACACCATGACCTTTCCCTGTGGGCTTAGTGCTTTGCTACTGCACTGCCACCTGGCCTCATTTTTCTAACACGTGGCTTTAGAAAGTGACCACCACACCGTTATTATACCTATTAGTTCGCGCCTATTCAATCGGGCCACTTACTAGCCAGTGTGTGTTTAATTCCCTGCTTTTGGTCTTAAACTTTTTTTTCTTTTTTTTTAAAAAGTTTTTGTCATAGGGTGCATTGTGCTTTGCTACTGCACTGCCACCTGGCCTCATTTTTCTAACACGTGGCTTTAGAAAGTGACCACCACACCGTTATTATACCTATTAGTTCGCGCCTATTCAATCGGGCCACTTACTAGCCAGTGTGTGTTTAATTCCCTGCTTTTGGTCTTAAACTTTTTTTTCTTTTTTTTTAAAAAGTTTTTGTCATAGGGTGCATTGGCTAGCCAGAGACAGAGAGAGAGAGAGAGAGAGAGAGAGAGAGAGAGAAATTACCCCCCAGGGCGACAGCCATGCCACAATTCATTTCCCCTGTTCTCTCAGGATTTGGGGCACACACACAAGCTGCTGGTCCAGGACTTGAACATGTAGTCAGCCCTGAGGACGCCAGCTGCCTTAACCGCCATACCACCTTCTGGCCGTTAAACTGTCTTTTTTTTTTTTTTTTTTTGAGAGGTTTTTGCTATAGGGCGCGTGCGCTCACCAGACAGAGATAGAGAGACAGAAAGTGAGAAATCACCCCCCAGGGGTGATGGTCACGCCGCACTCCCTTATCCATTCTCCTCTCGGGATCTTGGGCACGCACGCACATGCGCCCGGCGTGAGTTCTAAGCCACTGGGTCCGGGACGCGAACAGCTGTCGACTACGTGGGAGTCCAGTGACATAGCCATTACTAACTGCTGGTCCCCTAAACTGTCTTTTTAAGGTTGCTTTTTGCTTGAATCAGGAGTCAAACAGGCCAGATAAGATCTATGGCCGCTGCGTCTCTTCATCAGTTTTTCTCCTTCCTATTTCCTAGCATTTCTCACGGTAGTTGTTGAAGATGCAAACATCCCGCAGGCCTGCGCGGTAGGCTCTGCCATGGTGCTGTCTCACAGATGCTCCTCCAGCCCAGCTTTCCTCTCAGTCCGTCAGGGGAGCCCGGGCTGCCGTGGCCGCAGGTGATCTTGAGCAGGAACTGGTCAGGGAGAGGCTCCAGCTCTCTCGTTCTGGCAGGCAGGGGCTGCTCCGCCTTGGCAATTCCGCAGGTGGTCAGTAAGGTCATGGCGGCAGCTGATGCATCCACAAAAACCTTCTAGACAGCTTTGAAAATTCCAGTGGACACCAAATGGAAGCAATGAAGCCTACTCATTCAGATCTTTTCTCTTAGTTTTAGAAAAAACACTAGCACAGAGTATCGCTTCCCAGTCCTCTTCAACATGTGTGGTTTGCCCTTGGGTCACACCGGGTGTGTCTGGATGGAGTAAAGCTTGCTACACCTCTGGAGACCAGTCTCCCCTGGCGAGCACTCTGCCCAGGCTCAGAACGAGTTAAGGCCGCCTCGCTTTTGTGTTTTCCACCATTTATGGTTTCCTCGTGACTTTCTCTCCTCTGAGGGGGAGCAGAGCTTTGAAAGTGAGGCCTGTCTGCTATTTAGAGGCTACCTCGTGGAATGGTCTGGGAACCCTCGCAGAGCTTGCCAGCGGCTGGGGAGTTGGCAGATGGACATTCAGTCTGAGTTGTGCTCAGAGCCAGCAAAATAAGCCAGCCCAAACAATGCACTGGAATTTGTCAAATCCACACTTCATCTGTGCCACCCGAGCTGGCTCAGCTGTGCTGCTGAATCGCCAGCTCACAGACAAGCACCTGACGCCAGGCGCTCAGCACCCCTGGAGTGAGCCAACACAGCGGGCCCTTCAGAACAGGGCTGAGCGAGCTGGAATGAGCCAGGGCGCATGCACAACCATGGCGAGAGGGGAGACAAGAGGGCGCCCAGCGTCCCGAGACGACTGCAGCCGGGGCCCAGGTAGTCTGGAACCCCAGGAGTCAAAGAATGCACTGAAGGTCTCCCCTCGAGTTCTCAGGGGAAGACGGATTAACGGGGAGCTGAGGAGTCCCTGTAACTTAGCAGAGTGGGCAGAAAAGTGTACCCTGGCTCACCTGAAGCTACTGGAAGCCCAGTGGTCTGGAACGCCGAGACAAAACAAGGCCTAAACCTTTTCCATTGCATTTCTCCACAACAAATACAACGGGCGGGGAAAGCAATGGAGGGGCGCAGTTGGGGGGACCATGTAGGGATGCACTGAGGGTGCTGGGAGCCATCCCTGGGAAGGCGTGGCTGGGGCCCTGGCTTTGAGGACTCTCTCTACTCCTGCTATGAAACGACCCAGAGAGCCCTTCCTTTAGCGACACCGAAGTAGGAAACGGACATTTAGACACCTGCTTTAGAAGGAGCCCTTCCGAAGGGCTTTGACAGTCAGCCTTTCTCTCTGCTCCTCTCCCTGACATGAAATAACAGCCACCACTCTGGATTCGCTGAGGCCCTGTATGTAACTCATGAGAAGGGAGAATTTTAGAAGTAGTCAGCTTTATGTTTTTTGAGGATAGAAGCAATCCAGACTGAGGAAAATCACTGGGCAGAAGTCTCAGGGACTGTTTGTTACAAGCCCCTCGTGACATGCCAGGTTGCGCTGTCTCAGGGACCTGGGCCCAGCCCCGTGCCACACAGCGGTGTTTGGGCCCACAGCGGAGGGCTTACAATGTCTCTGTGAGACCGCATTCATGCAGCCTGGGCTGGTCACAGCCTGGACCATCCAGGTTCGTGTGAGCACTCTCGGTGTCCCCACTGTGACGCGAAGCAGGATCCTACTTCTGAAGCGTGTAAGGACTGTGCCGTCTCCAGGAATTTGAGCACTTCTCCCTCAGCTTCCTTCCTTTGTTGATTTCTAATGCCCTTTGCATTTTGATGTGAATTCAAGGGGTCATTGGTTCCGGGGAATGACTCATGAGCTCAGGAAAGCAGCATCTCTTCAGAGGAGCTCCACCGGTCTGGAAACCAAGCCGAATTTGGTGCAGGGAACAGGAATCAGCTTTCAAGAACGGGTGCGCTGAACTCACAGGTCGCCACTCCAGTTCAGCAGAGGTAACCGCACATCCGGTGAGTGCGGGTCTCCTACTGCTGCCCTGTGGGCAAACGTGCCCCCTGCAGCCCTGAACAGCTCCTACACGGTATAGGTATAGGTATAGTCTGCGCTGGGGGCGCAGGTGGGCTTTCTCTGCAGGGCATTCCTTAAAGGACGCCAGGTCTCAATGCACACTTGAAAAAGAATTCTAGGTTGCGAAATGCTTTTGTCTGCTTACTAAAAGCATGTTTTCTCTGGAAAAAGAAGGCAAAACCATCTCTGACATTTCCAAACAATTAATCTAGACAAATCCACAAAACATACTTCCCATCCCCTTGTAGAAAAGGCTGGGATTAGCGAGCTAGCACAGGGCCTATGGCCTTCGTAGAAACGAGGGCGGCCAGCTGTGTCCTTCAGAGGGCGGCACCGTCTCCCGACTTCAGGCGCTGGCTATGCTACTGATCACGTCCCTCCTGTGGGCGTCCGCTCCTCCTAGGTCCGAAAACCAAAGTCTGTGACACCTGAGAGGGCAGCTGGGGGTGAAGGCACTTGCCGGCAGGACATCGGAGACACGACCGCAGCGCAGCTGGTCCTAACACGCAGGATGACAGCCATGGCCGCGCCCCGTCTAGCCCTACCTTTACTGTCACCCCGTAACCCACTTGACCAGAAGCCTCTGTGTGTTCCCAGTTGTCGTGGCTGCCAGAAGAGGGCTTGAGAGAGAGCACCGTGCTCCTCAGCCCGGGCAGCCGCTCCAAGCACTGTGGTCGGCTCGTCTTTCATTTACTTCTGAGCTCTCGGGGACAGTGACTTGAGCTACTTTTGAAGACGCTGCGGCTCCTCTGTGTGGGGTGTGAGGCACTGATTGTGGCTCTGGTGTCGCAGTCAACATGGTGTGCGGTCAGGGATGTGGCAGCGGCACGCCAGCACGTGGGTGGGAGGAAGCACACACGGATGTGAACCTGCCCTGGCCCTTGTCTGCTGTGGTCGTCCTGGCATGGGAATCTGGCCTCTGCCTTCGTGGGCTGCAGCGGACAGCTGCTCCTGGAAAGGGGACGCTCCTGTATGTGATGGGACGCTGTGTGTGCTTCAGGGAAAGCCCGGGCTGAGCTCAGGATAAAAAGACAGGGAGGAGGAGAAACGAGAGTGACAGAGCTGCAGGAGGTAGTCAAGATGGGGGAGTTGCCAGCGGTCAGAACCAGAGCACTGGGTCGATGAATATGGCGTCAGACATGGACTCTGGGAAGGAGGCCCGTCATAGGCCCAGAGGACACGGTGGGCAGAGGGAACTCCCTGAGGGTCCTGCTGCAGCTCTGTGCCTGCTAACCACGGCCGGTGGTTCTCCAGGCTTGACGCCCCACCTGCCATGTGGTCACGAGCAGGATTAAGGGAGTCCGATTCTGAGGCTGAACGGACGGTGAAAACCTTTATTCTATGCACCTGCCAGGACCAGGGAGGAACTACCAGCCCACGGGTGCCCAGGTGTGTTATGACAATGCTGACTGCATGCTGTGGGGAGACGGAACGCATCTTGGGCATGTGAGCAACCAGGGCGCATTGGGACACCACCCCTCTGCAGCCCGCTCATGTAATGAGGCTGGCGTGTGTGCGTGCCCGCGGGCCAGGCTCCACAGCATGTGCGAGGGAGATGGGCCAGGACGGCAGAGGCTTGGTCCCGTGCTGTTCCCGTGCTGTGCCAACAGCTGCATCCTCGGCTCTGGTCTGTAGTGCCACCAGGGTGCCCTGGTCCGTGGGCCAGGGCCCAGGTAGGATGCGGCGGGAAGGAGGTGCGCTACCCACGCTGAATGAACCAGGACGCACAGGAGAGTGGACTAGATCCATCATTACTTAAAAAAAATCAGTTTCTTGGTATGCTCGCTCACAATCCTACACCTGAGCTACTCACAGTGCATGTCTCACAGAGCGTTTTCTTCTTTTTCTTTGGAGAGGTTTTCGCTATACAGTACATGCGCTCGCCAGACAGACAGAGAGAGACAGAGAGACAGAGAGATAGAAAGCTAGAAATCACCCCCCCCCAGGGGGATGGCCACGCTGCAATCCCTTCTCCTCCATTCTCCTCTTGGGATCTTGGGCACGCATGCACACGTGCCCGGTGTGAGTTTAAGTCACCGGGTCCGGGACACGAACCGCGGTTGACTACATGGGAGTCCAGCGACATAGCCATTACGCTAACTGCTGGTCCCAGAGCATTTTCTTCTTAAAAAAAGTCCCAAATCTCCAAATCTGTCTATGGTACACGTGATAAAAATAACTAATTAGGTCACCACTGAACATAAATGACTTGTTAAACTGTGTGTCTGCCCATGAAAAATGTAGGTGGGCCCTTGGTCACCCAGGTGACAACCTTCCTAAGGGTGGCACACAGTGACACAGAAGTGGGATGTGAGATTAGAAGGCACAGGAATCCTGGCTGGTAGGGCTCAGCGAGGGAGCCTGGAGGGACAGAACAGGAGGGAGGGCCAGAGGCTGATCTGTGGGAACCAGAAGAAGGTGGCTGACCCATTCTTATGGATTTGGGTGAGTTTTATACATATGTGTGTGTGTATATATATATATATATATTTTGGGGGGAGTGGCGAATATTCTTGTCTGGGCCACCAGACCTCCCACATTTGACCACAGCCTCTCATTTGGTGTGGAGTAGAGTATTTTATGCATCAAACTTACTTTCTGTCCAGGGGATCCTTTCTCACCATCGAAGCCAGAGGTGCCCTGGGTTGAAAAGAAAACAGAAGTTTCTCAGAATATGAAGCAGGAATTTGCAGAGAGCTCTGTGATCGATCAAGACCCTGCTAGACAGACAGACCAAGGCTGAGGTCCTGATTTCAAAGACCTGCAACAAGCCCCCAAGCAGGTCATGGCTTCCCCTTTCGAAAGTTGGAGTCAGGGAGGCAAGACTGCAGAATGCCCAAAGGTGCAAGGACGCCACGGGGGTGCCGCGCTCTGCCGGGAATCAGGCTCGCCTTGACTGAGGGGGCTGCAGCGTGTTCGCAGTTCTCTGAGGCACCGTTCCTACAACCTGAACCCGTGGGGAAACCACACAGACAGCAGGGCGGGGTGGGAAAACTCTGGAAAGGCCTGCACTCGAAGGTTCTGAGTCTCTGTGCTAACTTCTGAAGGCTGTGAAACCTGGCTTTCTTCCTAATGGTGAGCCAGCCAGGTACTCACAGGCGCCATTTCTCTCCCCCCGACCACACCGCACTTGCGGCTGGGTTTGGCTGAGTCCTGGCTTAGAGCGACTGCAGAGGTGGCAGGTGGCAAGTGGGCCCCAGGCCTGAGGTGAGTGTATAAACAACTGGTTCTGAACAGCCTGGGAAGAGTCTCCTGCCCCCACCAACTAGAGACATTTCTACTGGACTCAGGGCAATCAGAAATCAACTCCTTGTGTTCAGGCATTCTACCTTCTCAGTTCCCCTGAGCTAACCTAGCCTAACATAAGCAGACCCTTTGTGTTGCATTCCTTCCCTCCCTGCAAGGGGGTGCCCTGTTTCTGAACCCTCAGCTGTTGGTGAAAATGCTGTGTCATTGCCAGTCCCGGGACAAGGGAGCAAACACACGCTCTGGTGCAGGGTCCCCCGGGGAGGCTGGGTAACAGGGCAGTGGGGATCTCTGTGCTTTCTGCTCAACGTGGCTGTGGACCTCAGGCCACGCTACAAAGGAAAGTCCAGGTGCGAAGGCCACAAACCACTGCAGTGACAGCGCGTGGCTTACCCGTGGTCCTGGGAAGCCCATGATTCCTTCTTCTCCCTTCAAGGAGATACCCTGCAAGAGAAGATGGTGGTGAAAGAGCAGCCAGGAGCTGCCCTGCAGGCGGGAGGCCCCACCCTCACCCTTCCCCACTCCAGATCTCGGGGTCTCAGAGTCTGGTTGGTGGATGCTCTCTGTCCGCAAGCGGGTTGGGGTTACTGCCTAGCTGGACATCCTGTACCACAGGCAAGTGAGGATCAGGAAGCTGGGTGAGCCACAATGGGCAGGACAGGGATGGACGGAGAGGACAGAGCAAGGACAGTCCCTCAGCTCCCCAGCCCCAGCCCCTCACACTGCTTCACGTTCATTAACAAACTCCAGGAAGTGGTGAGCATCCAATGCTTGTCGTGTAAAAGAAATTCTGAAATGGTTTTCTGAATCAGAGGCATAAAGGCAAATGATAACGCCATCCAGGAACAAGTGGGACAAGTGGGTGAGAGGACAAGAGGGCTGTGGGGCTGTGAGGCCTCGGCACACCCGTGTCCCAGGACAAGCACTGGAAACTGGCAGTACTGACTCACCTGTGCTCCTGGTTCTCCCTCACTTCCTTTCTCACCCTGGGCAGATGTGAAAAACAAGAAACACCCATTAGCTGGAGAAGAGTGAGATTCATGAGCTCATTAGGATTTGTGATCTGAAGTAAAAAGTTTTTCATGAAATCTTAAGCAACCATAAACCGCTGCTTCAAAATTCAAAGGGAAAAGCTGTGTCGCTTCCTATTGATTTTCACATGTTGACTTCAATCATGTTCTGTTGGATATGACAGAAGTCTGTCTTCACTTCTGACTGTGTAGTTCCCTTCATCCCCTACACAGTTTAGGCACACCATGCGTGGAATACAAGCTTAGAGAAAGGGCCCTAATGATAACATTCACTTGAATAAAACATTACGAGGAAGGTCCTTTGAGGAAAAGTTGCATTTTAAAACTCCAAGTGAAAGTGCTTTAGAAGGCAGTGTCAGTTTTGTGGCAGCCTCTCTGTTCCACTGCTCTTGGTCTTGAGTGGTGAAAATAAAGTGGTAGCTGGGGTGTGAAGGTGTCTCTGCACCACTGCTCTTAGGGCAGGACCCAGGAGCTTCGAAGCTCACCACTGTCCCCTGTGGGCTGGCTGTGTCCAGTCCCCTTGGCGGCAGGGAGGAAGGAATTTGATCAGGACTTGCACACCCAGCGTGGGCAGGACCTGCTCTGGTCTACTCACCTCCCTTGTCAACACTCGCTCACAACTCGAGCCCCAGATGCCAGGGTTGATTTCTACCCAGGACTGAAGACCCAAGCTTCTGGTGACCGACATCAGGAGGTGAGAATTGTTTCTACTCGAGAAAATATGACTTCTCTGCTCAGGGCTCTTACCTAGCTCCCATGTATGGTGTGTGCCTGGCTTTATGCTGAGCATTCCCACCAGCGCCCCGCGTGCGCCCCGCGACAGGACCAGGAGGCTGTACTCCTGTTATCACGTAACACAGGGAACAGGTGGCAGGTGGTATTCACTGGGCAGGGCTGTCTTAATTCTATTTTAGACAGGGGTATGTTTCTAATCAAACAAATTAATATTAAAATATAATTCTATCAATATTAGCATACGTATTCATAGAACTATAGGGAAAGTACTAGAAATTGACCTTGATCCAAAAAGAAAAAAAAAGATGCTTTGTGTGAGCACAGAAAAGGAGGTTTTCCCTGCTGAAGACAGCACTCTGCTCATAGTTCCACGACCCTGGGTTTGAGGAGTGCCATAGCCACTTGTCCTCGTCTACACGGAGTACTTTAGCACAGGTCGGAGCTTTTTTTTGAGAGTTTTTTTTTTTTTTGCTATAGGACATGTGCACTCGCCAGAGACAGAGAGACAGAAAGTGAGAAATCACCCCCCAGGGGAGATGGCCACACTGCAATCCCATCTCCTCCATTCTCCTCTTGGGATCTTGGGCACGCATGCACACATGCCTGGTGTGAGTTAAAGTCACCGGGTCCGGGACTCAAACCATGGTTGACTATGTGGGAGTCCAGTGACATAGCCATTCCGCCAACTGCTGGTCCCCTGATTGGAACTTTTTAATGGATTCTTACGTTGCTTCAAATTCAGCACTGTGGGTTCAGGTGACGGACCAAGCACACTATCTCACTTGCAGCTACCACTATCTGGAAGCATCGAGAACATCCTGGTGGGGCCCGGCTGTGTCTTCATGTGTACTCTGCTTGTTTATCTGGGAGGCCTTCTGCACTTACCATGTGACTGACTGACTGAATACAAATGAATTACGTTTACCCGTTCTTTGCCTCCTTTCCCAGTTCACCCTGGAAAACCGTGCCCTCCGTGGAAGCCCCTTACCTTGTAGTGGTCTGGGTGCACCGTGGTCTTGGTGGGCCCGACGATGGGGTGGAGGTTGTCTGACGGAACCCCGTTGGGCCCTGGCTGTCCAATGTCACCCTGCGGCAAAGGCAGTTGTGTTTAGATCGAAAGGAAACCAAAAACTTGAAAAGCATCGTTCCACCCAGAACTGCCATTTTTATTTCTATTACTTCCCACATATATACCGACTCTGCAGTATGATAATCCTAACATAAAATACCACGAAAATATAAACTAACCATACTATGAATCATTTGTGTCCTGCCTTCATCAGTAATTTAAATCGACGCCCAGAAGCCAGGCAGTCTGTCACAGGCTGGGGCCACATGTGCTCCTGTGCATGACCGCTCGGACGGCTCTCCGTAGCTGGCAGCTACTCAGTCTGAGGGCCGGCCTTCATGCCCTCGGTACGTGTTACCATATTACGGCTTACGGGTGGCACCGAGCTACAACAAATGCCTAGGAATGACAGCCTGCTTGGTTTTGCTGGCTAAAATTACTTCACCAGCTATGGGTGCTTTTAGTAATAAAAAGTCACAGCTTGAATAAATGTAATATTTCATAATTGGCTTAGTTTGTATTTTGTCACTAGTAGGATACACTTTTGCTGTAGTGTGCAGAGGTGAGACCTATCCATTGGCAACATCCCATAACAGATACCCTGGCAGGATATTCTGGCTTTCTTTCTTTTTTTAAAAAAAAATTATTTAATTTTATCTATTATCATCATTATTATTTTTTAAAATTTGACCAGAGAGAGACAGAGAGAGAGGAAGGGAGGGAGGGAGAGACAGACAGAGAGAGAGAGAGAGAGAGAGAGAGAGAGAGAGAGAGAGAAAGTGAGAAAGCAAGTTGCCAGGTCTGGGACTTGAACCATGGTTGGTCATGTGGGAATCCAGCACCTTAACCACCATGCCACCTGCCAGCCCTGATATTCTGGCTTTCTTAACCAGAAAGTGATATAAAAAGAATGCTGTTGCCTTTTCTTTTGCTATTTTCACATAAAAAGTATGTAAGACAAGCTTGAGCTAAAACATCATGTAACAGGAGTAGTGGCAAACTGAGATGACATGTCAGCTGTAGAAGGTGGCACTCCATGGTATATTCTGAGCAACCACATCTTAAAAAGACCGGAGCCACTAGTTCGTCCCCCTTGTGCCATCACAGCCTTGACGTTTTGATCTGATGTAATGATCTGAAAAGGCCCCTTGTACATCATAGACATTAATTCAATTCTCATTTTATCTGAAATAACTATTTTCCCTGACACCCATTGTTTCTTCCCAGATTTTCCATTTCTTCATTTTATTACTTTGTTACATCTCATTGCATGGGGTTTTACGTGTCCATGTGTTTGGGTCTTCAATGTTTCCCATCTGTGTTTTCGTCTATGGTATCAATGCAAAAGCTTCTTCCTCCTTTACACCTGAGTAGTATCTGATTTCCCTGAGCATGCTGTTCAGGCAGAAAGCAGAATGGAAGACAAAATGAAATGCTCAGACAGTGAGTCTACGGGACAGGTCCACGCCGTCATAGTGCATGAAGGGGATTGTGTGTAGGTGAGAACTTGCATGTGGGCACACTGTCAAGCCTTCTGCACGCATGCTCCTGTGTGTTCCTCTCCAAGGCTATGGGGTCTTGAGTCTTGGTACTGCAAGGACGTACAGGGCACAGAGCTTGCTCCTGCCTGTGCCCAGTGCAGCTGGCAGATCCCCCGGCCTGGTCTTCAGCATGCCCTCAGTCATCTCAGATTCTGCACAATAGAAGATCACTCCCTCCCCCAGGGACACGCCTTCATTGCCACCTGCTGAAGACGAACTGAAGATGTGCTCTGTCTAGGTCAGAGGTCCGCGCTGCCTAGAGAGTTAGGGGTCACTGTCCTCCCAAGCAGAACCGCCACTGGAGTGTACTGCCGACCTGGCACTTCCTAGCATAGCTCCCCTGCACAGACCATGTCGACAGACCACAAGGTAACAGCACAAAACTTAGTAAGGGTTGAGCATTCCGAATCCAAAAATCCAAAATCTGAAATATTTCAAAATCTAGAACTTTTTGAGTGCCAACATAATACCACAAGTAGAAAACCCCACACCTGACCTCACATAACGGGTCACAGTCAAAATGCTCCAATGGAAAGACAGGACACAAAGTTACCTCCAGGCTACGTGCACAAGATGTGCAGTACATATAAGCGAATTTCGTGTTTAGTCCTGGGCCCCATCCCCAGGACAGCTCATTATGAATATGGAAATATTCCAAAATCCAAAAAAATGTGAAAGTCCAAGTACTTCTGGTCCCAAGCATTTCAGACAAGGGATACTCAACCTGTGATTAAAATGACTCATTTCATGATTGAAAACACTGCTGGGATCCGTTAGACTATTTACCTTTTCACCCTTTTCTCCATAAAAACCAAGTCCTCTGTTGCCCTGAAAAGATAGTTTTTGTAAGTTTTTAAAAGTCAATAATCATGGTGAATTTTTTTTTTTTTAAAGGAAAAACAAAAAACAAAAAACAAAACCAAAACCCCAATACCTAGCGATCTACAACATTGCTGCTGTCTAAAACTCTGGCTCCACCTGCTGGAGCTAACTGACACTGCCATGGTCCTGGGCCAGGGCCCACAGCCCACACAACGGAGGGCTCAGAATCAATTCCAGGTCTTTTAATTGGTAAGTTTATCCATTTATTTCTTTCATGAGTGAGAGACAGAGAAAGAAAGAGAGATAGGAAGGACCTCTCCAGGGCCTGGCTATGCCCCAGCCCTCTTCTCCAATTTTCCATCCCAGCAGGGTTCTGGGCACGCATGCGTGCACATGTCTGGCGTGTAAGTCACCAGGGCTGGGACTTGAACCTCTGCTGCCATTGTGGGACCTGGTTAAGCTCAGTGCTTAGCCACTGTGCTATGGGTGTGGCCTGACCTGGATCCCAGCGTTGAAGACCACAACTCATCCTCTTTTCTGCCTCAATCTTTTCTTTCCTTGGTGAGATACTAATTTCATACAAACATTTTCTATGTTTTAATGATTTTAGTGCATTTAACATTTTTGGCATTTCTCCGGGTTTTCACTGTCCTTTTAGCTTGTGCGGTAAGGCAGTGCCCCAGTACACGCTCGGCACCTTGGCCACCTGCGAGTTCTGCACCTGGAGAAATGGAGCCCCTTCTCTTCTTTCCAAATGACTGTTTGTCCCTGGGTTCCTAAGCTCCCAGGTGGCCAACCCATGCCTGTATCTGATCTTTCTCTCCACGAGTATCACCCGCCCCTCCAGGTCCAGATATACCCTGAGAATGAAAACTAGGCCTTTAACTAACTTTGGCATTTTGCCCTTTCCCTCCTGGCCGGAAACTGATACCGAAACCCAGAAACGGGTCGGGTGGGATCAGAGGGACTATGTGGTTGAGTCCAGAGCCCTGAGCCCTGCGGGCTGAGGGTCAGTCCCTAGGAAGTGCCCTGGCAGGGTGAGGAGATTGCCGTTCACAGCGGCAGGTAGAGCTCTGAGGCTTGCGCCTAGCCCGGTGTTGGCGCTGCTTCCTTGGCTGCCCCATGGCTTCTGCTGCTCTCAGCTCTGGCTTCGCAGCCCACCAAGGCCACAGCCATCGAGAGCCAAGGGCCTCAACAGGCACTCCCTGGAGGCCAGGTCAGAGGTGACTGAGCCCAGGGACAGGAGATGGGGGCAGCCAAGGTTACCCAGGGGATCTCAGGCACAGGCCCCATGAGGAGTAAATGTGGGAGCTTGTGGCTTGAACTGGCTCCTCTGGGTGGAGGCTTGGGATGGCTCTGGGAGGGCCCTTAGCCAGACTCTCTGACTGTCGAGTTTTGACCAAATACATCCTGTCAGCCCTGTGCCCTGGTCTGGGTATTGGTCCGGCTCCCCCAGGTCACAGGAACCCGAGTTCTGCTCTGCACGCTTCTTAGGAAGATTTCTGGTGCTCTAACCAGCTTCTGTCTGTGCTGAGAGAGCATCGCTCCAACCCTGGCCCGGGCTGCATCCTGTGAGGCTGACAGCAGCTCCTGAGGAACCTGCCCATGTCCGGTAGGAAGACCATCCTCAGCCCACCACCACTGTGCTACACTTCTAAACGAACACGTGTGCAGACGCGCCTGCTGTGCCCTGTTCTAGATGACAAGAGTTACACACTTTCTTTTCATAAAGTGTACTTTTTCCATGAAAGACAGAGAGAGCAAGCGAGCGAGCAAGAGAGAGAAGCATTCTTAAAAGGGTCTCTGTGCCGTGGTCCTGCCCATGACTGCTGCCAGCCAGGGTCGGAGCACACACGCCTGTGCCCAGCTTGCCCAGGGAGACGCCAGAACTCAAACCTGAGACCTGGCCACTGGCTTGAGCGTCGCAGCATTGCATTACTGCCGCGCCACCGTGGCTGCCCAGTCTGCATTCTCAATGACATACCCATAGGTTTGATTTTCATACAGCAAAAGAAATGTGATAATTCACTGATTTGCAAACAACAAAACATTTCACATGATCAGTTACCCAACATGCCAGGTGTTCTAGATGAGTCTTTATCTGTAAGTCTTGTAACCGACAGATGGTTCTCATCATGACATAAACAATAGAGTCGTCAACCAAGGAGTCCTCTGGTCAGGAGGCCATACACACAGACGCTAAAGTCCCCCTCCCCGTCCTCATCCGCGCACCCAACTTACTGGCTGTCCTTTTGGTCCAGGGGGTCCGGGCGGTCCCTGCACAAATACAAAGACACATGTAAACTGTTCTCTTTACCCCAGGACCCAGCGACATCTGCCGTGAAGCTCTGGGAAAGCGCTGGCTGCATGTCTGGAGCCCCGTGAGGTCTGCAGAGCCCTCTGGCTCTGGCTCACTGGTGTTGGCAGGGGTGAGAAGCTAGGGCGAGGGCTGAGGTCAGCCCTGGTCTCGGAACCCGTTGCTCTGTGCACGGGTGCTTCTGGTTCACTTGTGCGCTCAGGCCCTGGCTGCGCCCAGGCCTTCCTGTGGTTGTTCCGACCCCTCTGTGAGGCTCCAGGCCCTGCGACTGCACACGTGGTTCCCTGACTTTCCCGGGGAGATCCCGTTGGACATGTGTGTTCTCGGACAGCACTGATGTGTGGGCTGGCCCTGATGGGTGAAAGTCCAGCCGCCAGTGCATGGTGTGTCCTGCACGTGCTCAGTGTCGACGGCGCACCTAGCACACGCGTGTGTAAGAGGCGCCGGGGAGCGGTGCGGTGGGAAGGCGCCCAGGCGGAGGAGCCGGCTGGGGCTGGATGCTGTGGCGGCTCAGGGGAAGGCTGAGTGCGATACGTCCTCAGGTTTCTCTGAGCTGTGTGTTTATAGCGGAAGCCCCAGACTACGCCGCGTGTCCGTGACTGGCCAGCCACCGGACACAGGCAAGAGCACTGGCCTGTCCTCCGTCGTTCCTGTCCCTGCCTTTGTCCCAATCTTTCCAGACAGACGGCTACTTGCAAAGTGCCCTGCACAGCTTGAGGGAAACCTGCTGGATTACTCTCCGTCCAAAGGACATGGCAACTGTTATGTGACCAAGTCTTCCCAAACATACGTGTCTCATTTTCTTCCCTCCCCAACTGTTATGTGACCAAGTCTTCCCGAACATACGTGTCTCATTTTCTTCTCAGTATCTGTCCAGAAACTGAGCCACAGCAGCCAACAGCTTGCCTCAGTTCTGAGCAGCGATCTTCTGTGAGAAGGCCTCTCTCGCTCGCAGCCAGGATCTCTCTGGCAGTGGCCGTCTCATCTTCCCGGGTGTTGCGTGGAGGTGGCGTAGAGGTGGGGTGGGGTGTGGTGTGGTGGAGGACTGCACGGGCTCCAGCAGGGCCCCCCTCCTCTCTGCCCTCCTCCCAGCAAGGCCTCCTCCCCAAGTCCATCCTGGCCCTCCCTCTGTCACTGGATTTGCAGGAGGAAGAAATAGAGGTAGCCTTCCATTCAGGTGAGGCCGAGGGCCATCGTGTTTAACGTGTTCAGTGTCTCACTTGCTACAATGGCGTGGACAGCCCAGGTGGGATGCACCTGCTGCAGTGGGTATGGCCCAGGTGCACTATACCTGCTCTAATGGGCCCAGCCCAGGTGTGATGTATCTGCCACAGTGGACATATGTGGCCCAGGAGTGATATGATGGGCATGGCCCAGGTGTGGTACAATAGGCATGGATGCCCAGGTGATATACCTGCGAGAAAGGGCCTGGTTCAGGTGTGATGCACCTGCCACAGTGGGCCTGGCCCAGGTGTGGTGCAGTGGGCATGGGTGGCCCAGGTGTGGTGCAGTGGGCACGGGTGGCCCAGGTGTGGTGTAGTGGGCACGGGTGGCCCAGGTGTGGTGTAGTGGGCACGGGTGGCCCAGGTGTGGTGCAGTGGGCACGGGTGGCCCAGGTGTGGTGTAGTGGGCACGGGTGGCCCAGGTGTGATGCACCTGCCATAGTGGGCCTGGCCCAGGTGTGGTGCAGTGGGCACGGGTGGCCCAGGTGTGGTGCAGTGGGCATGGGTGGCCCAGGTGTGACATACCTGCTACAGTAGGCATGGCTCAGGCACAGCCCACTCCTTACTGACCCGTGTGACTGGCTTGCTTTGCTCAGGGATGACAGACGTGTTGTCACCCGGGTAAGTTTGGAGCCGGGAGAGCTGATGTCTGACTGAAGGACACCCAGCCAGTGCCAAGCTAACTCTGATATGGCGGGCCATGAGCTGGTGACCATGGACTTTGAGCATGTGCTCTTCAACCTTAACGGGGGCACAGTGTCTACAAAGAAGGGTCTACTCTGTCTTGGTGGCGTTTCCGCAGTGACCACAGGCATCCTATCATCCCGTGACACCCTTGCCTGCTTTGACAGCTGCAGAGGTGCAGCTCCGGGGGAGAACCTGAACATGGCCAGGAGTGCGAGTGGCACCCAGGTACTTACTGGTCTTCCTGGCGCTCCGACAGGACCCATTGGCCCCATAAACCCGGGACGGCCGGGAGGCCCCTGTGGACAAGAGACAAGAAAGTGTTTTTAAAAGATGTAGGCAGGTATTTGGAGTCCCGAAGTTCTTAAACTCTGCTTGAAATATTCTCTAATAAATAAAAACTCACCGGGAAACCGACCAGTCCAGGCTCTCCAGGTTCGCCCTAATTGAGAAGAAAGAACTGTAAGAGTTCTAGTTTAGGCATCTGTAGGCTCAGTTATGCTTTATTGCAGGGTTGGCAGGGGCTTAGCAGTCTCGGGACACAGCGTGCTCACTGCCTGGGGTCTGGTGGCCAGTGTGGCAGGAAGGGGCAGAAGGGCCCGCAGTTAAAGCGAGAGCGAAAACAGCCTCGGGACAGCGAGGCCCTCAGGTGACGGAGTGCAGGACCTTTCTGCGCGGCCCGCGGTCTGCACTGCCTCCCCTTGAGGCTGACCCGGAGGCCACTGGGAAGTGAGCCTGACGGAGGGTGGTCCTGCTTCCCCTGGTCCCACGAACGTACCCTGTACTTGTCGCGGTCCTCTGCAGACAGTGCGTAAGGCTCACCCTTCTGCCCTTTGGGTCCTTGTGGTCCCTGTGTTTGCAGAGATGTCATGAAAAGAAAAACACAACACAGCCTGTGACTATCTCGGGCAGCCACGGTCTCCAGTGACTGCACGTTGGCCTTTGCAGGCAGCGTCCACTCATCCCGCGCTCTCTCAGGCGTCCCTGGACACCAGCCCTGTGATCTGCTGTGGGGCAGGGCGTCTGGTGGAACGTCCACACCCTGGTGCTTCTCCTCGGAGGTACATGGGGGTCCTCTCAGGGCTCGAGTGCCTTGTTGGGCTGATCCCCTAGTGCACCACTGGGCTAGTTCTTCACAGTGACCCTGCGAGGCGCTGTCTTTGGCTTCTGTGCAGGGAACAGGAGCACACAGACCCTGAAGCACCGTTCATGTGCGAGGAGAAACACACATGTCGAACACACATGCTGTGTCCAAAGACTGTATGTGTGTGTACCCTGCCTCACTTGTACACAGAGCCAAGGTCCCGGTCGTGAGTGTGCTGCTTTTTATAAATTTAAATTTATTTATTATTTATTTATTCATTCATTTATGTTAATTTGACCAGAGAGGAACAGTGTGTGTGTGTGTGTGTGTGGAGAGAGAGAGAGAGAGAAAGAGAGAGAGAGAGAAAGTGAGAAAGCAAGCTGCCAGGTCTGGGACTCGAACCACAGTTGGCCATGTGGGAGTCCAGGCCTCCTGGGTATGCTTCTTAAAAACGAAGTTTATGATCGAGCAGGGCAGCAAATGATGGCCTTACTGAAAACAGAAGCAACAGTCAAGGGGACTGGAAGGCAGAGGAGAGACGGATTGTGTGCAGAATCCGTTTGCTGCTGGGTGAGGTCGTGATCAAGACTGCTAATAACTGCTCTTCCCCTGGATTAAATAGTTTTTAAAGTTTATTTACTTCTTCCCTGAGAGAAAGACAGAGGCAGAGGCAGAGACAGACAGCACCTCAACAGAATCTCGATGCCCTGACCCGCCCGGGCCCCAGCCAGGGCTCACACCCCCAGCACGAGCAGGGAGGTCTGCAGAGCTGGACCGGGGACCTTTCCAGGAGCGTCGGGCTGCCGAGCGCTGTTTAGTTGCTGCCTCGCTGCCTGCCCACTGCATTTCTTTTTAAAATAAAAGAAGTGTTACCAACAGAACTTTAGGAGAGCCTTGAATTTGTAAGATTTTCATGGCTGCTTCATGAAGGAAGCAACATATTGCTGAAAAAACGTTTTAGGGTTCTTTGCAGAGACCCTAAACATGAAACAGGGCCACGAAGCAGATCACCCTCTAAGGTACAAACGCCCTTGCTGACGGAGCGAGAGCGACCGCACCTCGCCGGTGGAGATACTGACCAGACCACTATCCAGGCCTGGGTTTGCGGCCTTGGCTTTACCAGGCCACTGTTTTCCGCTGTATGAACCAGACAGGAAAGAAAGTAGGTGGCACCTGGGGACCGTGGGCGTGGCGACATAAGCCCAACGCCGGCAGTGCACGTTTAAAGAACGAACTCGGAAAGGGAAGGGCCTCGAAGGTCCCACCTTGCGGGCTGTGAGGCAGCGTCGGAAGGAGCCCTGCTTCCATTCTGGCCACACAACAGGGAGGCCCCCGGTCACGGAGGGCGAGCTCGGCAGGTCTGCCTGCTCCTATCGTGAGCAGGAGCCAACGCCCCTCTGAACATTTCCAAGGCATGTCCTCTAGGGCCCTGTGCTGAGCCCAGGACCCCTCTTTGCGTGCACACCCAGGGTCCAGCGCTACCGGAATGGCGGGCACTGGGGCGATACTCACGGGAGAGCCGGGGAAGCCCCCAGGGCCGGAGGGTCCCTGCGGGCCGGCGTCGCCGCGTGTCCCGTTGCAGCCGGCATGGCCGGGGC